TGTGGAGTTACAAGATGAAGATGTACCTGATGTCGAAGGGGCTGTGGGGCGCGATCGCGGGCGATGAGACAACAAATGAGGCCAAGGAACAGCAAGCCCACGCCGCGATCGTGCTGAATCTGAGCGATTCACAGTTGATGCATGTCATCGACTCGGCCACCGCAAGAGAAGCGTGGGGACGTCTGGCGCGATTTCATCACAGTCATGACATGGCGAATCGACTTTGGCTGAAGGAAAAGTTCGCGTCGTTCAAGTATGCAGCATCAAGCATGAGCGGTCATGTGATGGAGCTGGAGGACCTCGTGATGAAGATGAAGCGCGCGAACTGCGGTCCAAGTGAAGAGGACGTGTGCGCAGTACTGTTGCGGAGTCTACCTTCAAGCTTCGAGAGCTTGGTACAGGCATTCCGCATGTCCGTCGCAAGCTTCAGTTTCAGTGACCTCGTGAGCAAGTTGATCGCCGAAGAAGTGCGCCAGAATGAGGGAGCACGAGTAGAAGATGCAACGGCGCTCTACGCAGGCAAGAGGAAGGGTAAGCAGTACCCGAAGAAGCAACAAGGACGGCGCGCGAAAGGACCATCAGGGACCTGCTACAACTGTGGCAAGGTCGGACACTACGCCAGAGATTGTCGCTCCGGTCGAGGGCCAAGGGAGCAACAGCATGACCAGTCGAATGTCGCGTTTCATGCCAGCGAAGGTTTCGCGAGCAACAGCTGGGTCATGGACAGTGGCGCGTCAGCACACATGTGCAAGGATCGAGATGCGTTCGAAGAGTACGAAGAAGTGCATCATGCGCGAAGCATTTCAAGCGCAAAGAGCGACGTGAAGCTGAATGTCATTGGACATGGGACAGTGAAGCTGCGCGTCTGGACAGGACATGCGTGGATCGACGCTCGCCTTGAGAGCACACTTCACGTTCAAGATTTGTCCAAGAACCTGTTTTCGCTCACGGCTGCGGCAGCGCGCGGCATGACAGTGGAGATAACGCGCAACGAGTGCGTGGTCAAGCGTGGCGGCACACCCGTCGCAACAGGAAGGAAGCAGGGGTTCCTCCTGTATCTCATTGCTGACTGTGGTACGGAGTGCCACATGGCCGAAGACGATACAGAGCTATGGCATAGAAGATTGGGTCACGTGTCGTATGGTACGCTGAATGCCATGGTCAAGGACGGAAGGATCAAGGGCGCAACGATGAAGACGAACGTTGCGTGTGACGTATGCGCAACGTCAAAGCAAGTGCGCAAGTCATTCAAGACAAGTGAAGAAGACGCTGAAACCAGGGAGAGTTCGCGTTCCGACGTGGTGGTGTGCTCCGACGTTCTCGGACCTATCACGCCAGCGTCCAAGTCTGGTTTCAGTTACGCCGTAACCTTCATCATGATGAAGAGCAGGTATGTAACGGTCTATCCGTTGCGAAAGAAGAGCGACGTTGCGAGTGCGTTCAAGCGGTTTTACCAAGATGTCAAGACAGCATCTGGAACGAAGATAAAGGTGTTGCGAAGTGACAACGGCGGCGAATACCGGAACGAAACGATGAACAGCTTTTGCAAGGCAAAGTTCATTAAGCAAGAGTTCACGGTTCCGTACAATCCAGAGCAGAACGGGATGGCGGAGCGGATGAACCGCACGCTGGTGGAGATGACGCGCTGTATGCTCAAGGAAAGCGGCCTCGACAAGTCCTATTGGTGCGAGGCACTAATGACAGCGGCAGACATCAGAAACATTCTGCCGAACGCGTCGAACAAGAACTCAAGCCCACACGAAATGGTGTTCAAGAAGGTTCCGCGCATCGATCACATGCGCGTGTTTGGTGCGCAATGCTATGCGCATGTGGCGAAGGAGAAGAGAAAGAAGCTGGACGACTCAGGCGTGCGATGTTTCTTTCTCGGCTATGAGAAGGACCAAAAGGCGTATCGGCTTCTCAACGCGGACGATGGCTCGATCGTGATTTCAAGAAGCGTCACGTTCGCTGATCGTTCTGCCTCGAAAGCATCGAAAAGCAGAGACACGCAGGTCTTCGATGTCATTGAAGAAGATGAAAGTGTGGAGGCGTCGCTAACCGATGATGAAGACATACCAGCGCCGGTGACCGAAGAAGAGCTGCGCACCCCACCACTTCGAGCGCAGAACAGCTCTCATCACGGACCAAGTGTTCGACCAAGCGACACCATTCCTACGCGCGCATCCAGCACACCCGGAAGAAATGGAGAAGAAGAGTGGATGGTGCGACCGGTTCGAAAGAAGCGCGGCGTGGTTCGCTACGAACAAGAATTTCCAAGCCATCGTCGCGGTCGCTTCAATTTGGACGACTACGAAGGTGACTTCGACTCTTTCTACTGTTTCTCGGCTGAAGAAGATGGGGAACAAGTGTCCAGCTATCGAGAAGTGATGAAGAGCGGCTACAAGGAGCAGTGGCTCCAGGCAATGAAGAGTGAGATGAAGTCGCTTGAAGAACACAGCACATGGAAGCTAATGGACATGCCACCGGGCAAGAAGGCCGTTGGCTGCAAGTGGGTCTTCAAGATTAAACGCGATCCAAGTGGCGAGATCATCAAGTTCAAGGCACGCTTGGTTGCGAAAGGGTTCACGCAGCGTCCTGGCATCGACTATAACGAGACCTTCGCACCAGTGGCGCGCAAGGAATCTATCAACACAGTGTTGGCGATCGCTGCAGCCGAAGACCTGGAAGCAGAAAACGTTGATGTCGACACAGCGTTTCTCTACGGCGAAGTGGAAGAGGAGATCTACATGGACCAACCTGACGGTTTTGAAGATGAAGGAAGCCCGAATAAGAAGTGTTTGCTGCAGAAGGCGCTATACGGGACGAAGCAAGCGGCGCGGCAGTGGAACAACAAGTTGAGTCAGCACTTGGTTGATCAAGGATTCAAGAGCAGTGCAGCGGACCCGTGTGTGTTCGTTCGAGTGACAAGAGAGGAGTACAGCATCATCGTGATCTACGTGGACGACTTGATGATTTTCTGCAAGACGAAGGAGCACATCGCAAGTATCAAGAACTCATTGATGGAAGATTTCAGCATTAAAGATCTTGGAGATCTCAAGTACTGCCTCGGGATCGAGATTCATCGCAAGCGCGAAGATGGAACGATCAAGATGAACCAGAAGGCGTACATCAAGCGACTTTCGGAGAAGTTCGGCGTTGAGAACTGCAAGGACATGCACACGCCGGCGGACAGTAATTCGAAGCTGATCAAGATGGGTCAAGAGGAAGCGTTTGTACCAAAGTACCCATACCGTGAGCTGGTGGGCGCTTTAATGTACATCGCCACATGTACACGACCGGACATTGCGCATGCGGTTGGCGAAGTTGCGAAGTTTTGCGAGCGCTACGACAAGTCGCATTGGACAGCAGCAAAGCGGATTCTCAAGTATCTCAAGACGACTCAAGACTTAAGCATCGTTTCAGCGGCATCAACAAGGGAGAGCTGATTGGATTTGCGGATGCAAACTGGGCTGGCGACCTCGACACGCGGCGTTCGACAACAGGATACGTTTTCTTCCTGAACGGAAGCGTGATATCGTGGAACTCGAAGCGTCAACCAACGGTCGCGACCTCAAGTACGGAAGCAGAGTACATGAGTCTGTACAGCGCGACGCAGGAAGCAATTTGGCTTCGAGGTCTGCTCAAGGACCTGAACTACTGTGCCAAGAACGCGACGACGATTTTTCAAGACAATCAAGGTTGCATCGCGCTGGCCAAGAATCCTGTGTACCACTCGCGCACGAAGCACATCGACATCAAGTTTCACTTTTTGCGTGAAAAGGTTGCAAGTGCAGTTATCGCGCTAGAGTTCAAGCCGACAGAAGAAATGGTCGCGGATGGATTCACCAAAGCACTTCCAAGAGACAAGCACAGCAAGTTCATCACGGGTTTGTGCATGGCGGTGTAGGGGTCACACGTCGCACGCACATCAAGGGAGAGTGTTAGCGAGTGATGATGCGGCGACTTGTGCAGGGTGTATATTGCATATTTGCATTAGTTGTATTGTTCTTTGGCAGGTTTATATTGTGGGATGTTAGCGAAACGACAAGTCATCGGATTGGCTCAGTCGTTTGGGAAGGGGGATTCCACGCGGGTGAGTGCGGGTTCGATCCCCGCCGTGTACAAGTTAATTGTGACTGACACTCACGACCTGGTGTTTGGGGTTCACCAGAACTGTGACCCGCCCGCAGTTACGTCCCCCACCCACGCAATCGTTTTCATTCAGCATATGACACAGCAGAGTTTTTACGAAAGGTATTTACGAGACGTAATTACCCAGTGATAGGTAAAACAGAAAGCGGTGGAGACAGGGCACGAAATAGGTGGCTGAGAGTCACCGGCTACTACTAGCCATTCGTTTTCGAAGCTAGGAACAATTTGAATACAACTCACTTTTCGGTTTTCATCCCCGGCCGTAAGCCATCTTCTTCTCAGCATCAGCTCCACAACCTAGTTAATTCTAACACATAGTGCTAACCATTACACCATAAGAGCTGCAAAACTGACGTTGCCTGATGTCCCCATCAACTGCCAACTGCTAAATGCAAGCGCACGCATCACATCGACGCAAAATGCTGATGCTCGCAGTCAACAGCAAGCTCCTACCGGGATTTGAACCCGGATCGCTGGATTCAGAGTCCAGAGTGCTAATCATTACACCATAAGAGCTGCAAAACTGACGTTGCCTGATGTCCCCATCAACTGCCAACTGCTAAATGCAAGCGCACGCATCACATCGACGCAAAATGCTGATGCTCGCAGTCAACAACAAGCTCCTACCGGGATTTGAACCCGGATCGCTGGATTCAGAGTCCAGAGTGCTAACCATTACACCATAGAGCAGCAAAATTGAAGCTGTCTGATGACCCCATCAACTGCCAACTGCTAAATGCAAGCGTACGCATCACATCGACGCAAAATGCTGATGCTCGCAGTCAACAACAAGCTCCTACCGGGATTTGAACCCGGATCGCTGGATTCAGAGTCCAGAGTGCTAACCATTACACCATAAGAGCAGCAAAACTGACGTTGCCTGATGTCGTCATCAACTGCCAACTGCTAAATGCAACCGTACGCATCACATCGACGCAAAAGCTGATGCTCGCAGTCAACAACAAGCTCCTACCGGGATTTGAGCCCGGATCGCTGGATTCAGGGTCCAGAGTGCTAACCATTACACCATAAGAGCAGCAAAAGTGACGTTACCTGATGGCCGCATCAAGTGCCAACTGCTAAACGCAAGCGTACGCATCACATCGACGCAAAATGCTGATGCTCGCAGTCAACAACAAGCTCCTACCGGGATTTGAACCCGGATCGCTGGATTCAGAGTCCAGAGTGCTAACCATTACACCATAGAGCAGCAAAATTGAAGCTGTCTGATGACCCCATCAACTGCCAACTGCTAAATGCAAGCGTACGCATCACATCGACGCAAAATGCTGATGCTCGCAGTCAACAACAAGCTCCTACCGGGATTTGAACCCGGATCGCTGGATTCAGAGTCCAGAGTGCTAACCATTACACCATAAGAGCAGCAAAACTGACGTTGCCTGATGTCGTCATCAACTGCCAACTGCTAAATGCAACCGTACGCATCACATCGACGCAAAAAGCTGATGCTCGCAGTCAACAACAAGCTCCTACCGGGATTTGAGCCCGGATCGCTGGATTCAGGGTCCAGAGTGCTAACCATTACACCATAAGAGCAGCAAAAGTGACGTTACCTGATGGCCGCATCAAGTGCCAACTGCTAAACGCAAGCGTACGCATCACATCGACGCAAAATGCTGATGCTCGCAGTCAACAACAAGCTCCTACCGGGATTTGAACCCGGATCGCTGGATTCAGAGTCCAGAGTGCTAACCATTACACCATAAGAGCAGCAACACCGACGTTGCCTGATGCCCCCTTCAACTGCCAACTGCTAAATGCAACCGTACGCATCACATCGACGCAAAATGCTGATGCTCGCAGTCAACAACAAGCTCCTACCGGGATTTGAACCCGGATCGCTGGATTCAGAGTCCAGAGTGCTAACCATTACACCATGAGAGCAGCAAGACTGACGTTGCCTGATGTCTTCATCAACTGCCAACTGCTAAATGCAAGCGTACGCATCACATCGACGCAAAATGCTGATGCTCGCAGTCAACAACAAGCTCCTACCGGGATTTGAACCCGGATCGCTGGATTCAGAGTCCAGAGTGCTAACCATTACACCATAAGAGCAGCAAGACTGACGTTGCCTGATGTCCCCATCAACTGTCAACTGCTAAATGCAAGCGTACGCATCACATCGACGCAAAATGCTGATGTTCGCAGTCAACAACAAGCTCCTACCGGGATTTGAACCCGGATCGCTGGATTCAGAGTCCAGAGTGCTAATCATTACACCATAAGAGCTGCAAAACTGACGTTGCCTGATGTCCCCATCAACTGCCAACTGCTAAATGCAAGCGCACGCATCACATCGACGCAAAATGCTGATGCTCGCAGTCAACAACAAGCTCCTACCGGGATTTGAACCCGGATCGCTGGATTCAGAGTCCAGAGTGCTAACCATTACACCATAGAGCAGCAAAATTGAAGCTGTCTGATGACCCCATCAACTGCCAACTGCTAAATGCAAGCGTACGCATCACATCGACGCAAAATGCTGATGCTCGCAGTCAACAACAAGCTCCTACCGGGATTTGAACCCGGATCGCTGGATTCAAAGTCCAGAGTGCTAACCATTACACCATAAGAGCAGCAACACCGACGTTGCCTGATGCCCCCTTCAACTGCCAACTGCTAAATGCAACCGTACGCATCACATCGACGCAAAATGCTGATGCTCGCAGTCAACAACAAGCTCCTACCGGGATTTGAACCCGGATCGCTGGATTCAGAGTCCAGAGTGCTAACCATTACACCATAAGAGCAGCAAAAGTGACGTTACCTGATGGCCGCATCAAGTGCCAACTGCTAAACGCAAGCGTACGCATCACATCGACGCAAAATGCTGATGCTCGCAGTCAACAACAAGCTCCTACCGGGATTTGAACCCGGATCGCTGGATTCAAAGTCCAGAGTGCTAACCATTACACCATAAGAGCAGCAACACCGACGTTGCCTGATGCCCCCTTCAACTGCCAACTGCTGCACGCAAGCGTACGCATCACATCGACGCAAAATGCTGATGCTCGCAGTCAACAACAAGCTCCTACCGGGATTTGAACCCGGATCGCTGGATTCAGAGTCCAGAGTGCTAACCATTACACCATGAGAGCAGCAAGACTGACGTTGCCTGATGTCTTCATCAACTGCCAACTGCTAAATGCAAGCGTACGCATCACATCGACGCAAAATGCTGATGCTCGCAGTCAACAACAAGCTCCTACCGGGATTTGAACCCGGATCGCTGGATTCAGAGTCCAGAGTGCTAACCATTACACCATAAGACCAGCATAAAGTGACGTTGCCTGATGTCCCCATCAACTGCAAACTGCTAAATGCAAGCGTACGCATCACATCGACGCAAAATGCTGATGCTCGCAGTCAACAACAAGCTCCTACCGGGATTTGAACCCGGATCGCTGGATTCAGAGTCCAGAGTGCTAACCATTACACCATAAGAGCAGCAAAAGTGACGTTACCTGATGGCCGCATCAAGTGCCAACTGCTAAACGCAAGCGTACGCATCACATCGACGCAAAATGCTGATGCTCGCAGTCAACAACAAGCTCCTACCGGGATTTGAACCCGGATCGCTGGATTCAGAGTCCAGAGTGCTAACCATTACACCATAAGAGCAGCAACACCGACGTTGCCTGATGCCCCCTTCAACTGCCAACTGCTAAATGCAACCGTACGCATCACATCGACGCAAAATGCTGATGCTCGCAGTCAACAACAAGCTCCTACCGGGATTTGAACCCGGATCGCTGGATTCAGAGTCCAGAGTGCTAACCATTACACCATGAGAGCAGCAAGACTGACGTTGCCTGATGTCTTCATCAACTGCCAACTGCTAAATGCAAGCGTACGCATCACATCGACGCAAAATGCTGATGCTCGCAGTCAACAACAAGCTCCTACCGGGATTTGAACCCGGATCGCTGGATTCAGAGTCCAGAGTGCTAACCATTACACCATAAGAGCAGCAAGACTGACGTTGCCTGATGTCCCCATCAACTGCCAACTGCTAAATGCAAGCGTACGCATCACATCGACGCAAAATGCTGATGTTCGCAGTCAACAACAAGCTCCTACCGGGATTTGAACCCGGATCGCTGGATTCAGAGTCCAGAGTGCTAACCATTACACCATAAGAGCAGCAAAACTGACGTTGCCTGATGTCTTCATCAACTGCCAACTGCTAAATGCAAGCGCACGCATCACATCGACGCAAAATGCTGATGCTCGCAGTCAACAACAAGCTCCTACCGGGATTTGAGCCCGGATCGCTGGATTCAGAGTCCAGAGTGCTAACCATTACACCATAAGAGCAGCAAAACTGACGTTGCCTGATGTCTACATCAACTGCCAACTGCTAAATGCAAGCGCACGCATCACATCGACGCAAAATGCTGATGCTCGCAGTCAACAACAAGCTCCTACCGGGATTTGAACCCGGATCGCTGGATTCAGAGTCCAGAGTGCTAACCATTACACCATAAGAGCAGCAAAACTGACGTTGCCTGATGTCCCCATCAACTGCCAACTGCTAAATGCAAGCGCACGCATCACATCGACGCAAAACGCTGATGCTCGCAGTCAACAACAAGCTCCTACCGGGACTTGAACCCGGATCGCTGGATTCAGAGTCCAGAGTGCTAACCATTACACCATAAGAGCAGCAAAACTGACGTTGCCTGATGTCTTCATCAACTGCCAACTGCTAAATGCAAGCGCACGCATCACATCGACGCAAAATGCTGATGCTCGCAGTCAACAACAAGCTCCTACCGGGATTTGAACCCGGATCGCTGGATTCAGAGTCCAGAGTGCTAACCATTACACCATAAGAGCAGCAAAACTGACGTTGCCTGATGTCCCCATCAACTGCCAACTGCTAAATGCAAGCGCACGCATCACATCGACGCAAAATGCTGATGCTCGCAGTCAACAACAAGCTCCTACCGGGATTTGAACCCGGATCGCTGGATTCAGAGTCCAGAGTGCTAACCATTACACCATAAGAGCAGCAAAATTGACGTTGCCTGATGTCCCCATCAACTGCCAACTGCTAAATGCAAGCGTACGCATCACATCGACGCAAAATGCTGATGCTCGCAGTCAACAACAAGCTCCTACCGGGATTTGAACCCGGATCGCTGGATTCAGAGTCCAGAGTGCTAACCATTACACCATAAGAGCAGCAAAACTGACGTTGCCTGATGTCTACATCAACTGCCAACTGCTAAATGCAAGCGTACGCATCACATCGACGCAAAATGCTGATGCTCGCAGTCAACAACAAGCTCCTACCGGGATTTGAACCCGGATCGCTGGATTCAGAGTCCAGAGTGCTAACCATTACACCATAAGAGCAGCAAAAGTGACGTTGCCTGATGGCCGCATCAAGTGCCAACTGCTAAACGCAAGCGTACGCATCACATCAACGCAAAATGCTGATGCTCGCAGTCAACAACAAGCTCCTACCGGGATTTGAACCCGGATCGCTGGATTCAGAGTCCAGAGTGCTAACCATTACACCATAAGAGCAGCAACACCGACGTTGCCTGATGCCCCCTTCAACTGCCAACTGCTAAATGCAACCGTACGCATCACATCGACGCAAAATGCTGATGCTCGCAGTCAACAACAAGCTCCTACCGGGATTTGAACCCGGATCGCTGGATTCAGAGTCCAGAGTGCTAACCATTACACCATAAGAGCAGCAAGACTGACGTTGCCTGATGTCCCCATCAACTGCCAACTGCTAAATGCAAGCGTACGCATCACATCGACGCAAAATGCTGATGCTCGCAGTCAACAACAAGCTCCTACCGGGATTTGAACCCGGATCGCTGGATTCAGAGTCCAGAGTGCTAACCATTACACCATAAGAGCAGCAAATCTGACGTTGCCTGATGTCTTCATCAACTGCCAACTGCTAAATGCAAGCGCACGCATCACATCGACGCAAAATGCTGATATGCTCGCAGTCAACAACAAGCTCCTACCGGAATTTGAGCCCGGATTGCTGGATTCAGAGTCCAGAGTGCGAACCATTACACCATAAGAGCAGCAAAACTGACGTTGCCTGATGTTACCATCAACTGCCAACTGCTAAATGCAAGCGCACGCATCACATCGACGCAAAATGCTGATGCTCGCAGTCAACAACAAGCTCCTACCGGGATATGAACCCGGATCGCTGGATTCAAAGTCCAGAATGCTAACCATTACACCATAAGAGCAGCAAAACTGACGTTGCCTGATGTCCCCATCAACTGCCAACTGCTAAATGCAAGCGCACGCATCACATCGACGCAAAGCGCTGATGCTCGCAGTCAACAACAAGCTCCTACCGGGATTTGAACCCGGATCGCTGGATTCAGAGTCCAGAGTGCTAACCATTACACCATAAGAGCAGCAAAACTGACGTTGCCTGATGTCTTCATCAACTGTCAACTGCTAAATGCAAGCGCACGCATCACATCGACGCAAAATGCTGATGCTCGCAGTCAACAACAAGCTCCTACCGGGATTTGAACCCGGATCGCTGGATTCAGAGTCCAGAGTGCTAATCATTACACCATAAGAGCTGCAAAACTTACGTTGCCTGATGTCCCCATCAACTGCCAACTGCTAAATGCAAGCGCACGCATCACATCGACGCAAAATGCTGATGCTCGCAGTCAACAACAAGCTCCTACCGGGATTTGAACCCGGATCGCTGGATTCAGAGTCCAGAGTGCTAACCATTACACCATAAGAGCAGCAAAACTGACGTTGCCTGATGTCGTCATCAACTGCCAACTGCTAAATGCAACCGTACGCATCACATCGACGCAAAATGCTGATGCTCGCAGTCAACAACAAGCTCCTACCGGGATTTGAGCCCGGATCGCTGGATTCAGAGTCCAGAGTGCTAACCATTACACCATAAGAGCAGCAAAAGTGACGTTACCTGATGGCCGCATCAAGTGCCAACTGCTAAACGCAAGCGTACGCATCACATCGACGCAAAATGCTGATGCTCGCAGTCAACAACAAGCTCCTACCGGGATTTGAACCCGGATCGCTGGATTCAAAGTCCAGAGTGCTAACCATTACACCATAAGAGCAGCAACACCGACGTTGCCTGATGCCCCCTTCAACTGCCAACTGCTAAATGCAACCGTACGCATCACATCGACGCAAAATGCTGATGCTCGCAGTCAACAACAAGCTCCTACCGGGATTTGAACCCGGATCGCTGGATTCAGAGTCCAGAGTGCTAACCATTACACCATAAGAGCAGCAAGACTGACGTTGCCTGATGTCCCCATCAACTGCCAACTGCTAAATGCAAGCGTACGCATCACATCGACGCAAAATGCTGATGTTCGCAGTCAACAACAAGCTCCTACCGGGATTTGAACCCGGATCGCTGGATTCAGAGTCCAGAGTGCTAACCATTACACCATAAGAGCAGCAAATCTGACGTTGCCTGATGTCTTCATCAACTGCCAACTGCTAAATGCAAGCGCACGCATCACATCGACGCAAAATGCTGATGCTCGCAGTCAACAACAAGCTCCTACCGGAATTTGAGCCCGGATTGCTGGATTCAGAGTCCAGAGTGCGAACCATTACACCATAAGAGCAGCAAAACTGACGTTGCCTGATGTTACCATCAACTGCCAACTGCTAAATGCAAGCGCACGCATCACATCGACGCAAAATGCTGATGCTCGCAGTCAACAACAAGCTCCTACCGGGATATGAACCCGGATCGCTGGATTCAAAGTCCAGAATGCTAACCATTACACCATAAGAGCAGCAAAACTGACGTTGCCTGATGTCCCCATCAACTGCCAACTGCTAAATGCAAGCGCACGCATCACATCGACGCAAAGCGCTGATGCTCGCAGTCAACAACAAGCTCCTACCGGGAATTGAACCCGGATCGCTGGATTCAGAGTCCAGAGTGCTAACCATTACACCATAAGAGCAGCAAAACTGACGTTGCCTGATGTCTTCATCAACTGTCAACTGCTAAATGCAAGCGCACGCATCACATCGACGCAAAATGCTGATGCTCGCAGTCAACAACAAGCTCCTACCGGGATTTGAACCCGGATCGCTGGATTCAGAGTCCAGAGTGCTAATCATTACACCATAAGAGCTGCAAAACTTACGTTGCCTGATGTCCCCATCAACTGCCAACTGCTAAATGCAAGCGCACGCATCACATCGACGCAAAATGCTGATGCTCGCAGTCAACAACAAGCTCCTACCGGGATTTGAACCCGGATCGCTGGATTCAGAGTCCAGAGTGCTAACCATTACACCATAGAGCAGCAAAATTGAAGCTGTCTGATGACCCCATCAACTGCCAACTGCTAAATGCAAGCGTACGCATCACATCGACGCAAAATGCTGATGCTCGCAGTCAACAACAAGCTCCTACCGGGAATTGAACCCGGATCGCTGGATTCAGAGTCCAGAGTGCTAACCATTACACCATAAGAGCAGCAAAACTGACGTTGCCTGATGTCGTCATCAACTGCCAACTGCTAAATGCAACCGTACGCATCACATCGACGCAAAATGCTGATGCTCGCAGTCAACAACAAGCTCCTACCGGGATTTGAGCCCGGATCGCTGGATTCAGAGTCCAGAGTGCTAACCATTACACCATAAGAGCAGCAAAAGTGACGTTACCTGATGGCCGCATCAAGTGCCAACTGCTAAACGCAAGCGTACGCATCACATCGACGCAAAATGCTGATGCTCGCAGTCAACAACAAGCTCCTACCG